TGTGACTTATTGTAATTGACTATCTGTTTTATATGATTACATTTTAAAGAAAAAAAACTCTATTTAAGTGTCTAATAAAAGATTGTTTGTACACATCTCTGCTTTATTTCCATTTGTTTGGAGAAAACCTGAAGTTGTGGGTAGTAAAGTGAACCTCTATTTGGTTATATTCAGTACAGTACGGGCCCCGGTCACATTTGGCGTAGTCGGCAGGGTTCCTTTACAAGCAGGGGTGTGTACTCAATCCTTGGGCACTTTGTGTGTTTGTTGAGAAACCTTTTTTTATTATTACGTTTCATTTTGTTGTTTATTGTGAATGCTTTTGTGTGAGTGTGGTTGTTTTACAGCAGCAAAACAGCACCGGGCAGTGATTTTAAAGGAAGCCTTCCAAGACTCACCGCTGTTCAGGTTATTAGTGAGTATTTGTTTTGTTTTCTGTGTTTTTTTTTTTTGTTTGTTTTTTTTCTTTACCTTAATGATGGAGAGTGAGTTGGATGAGCTGCGCAGGCAGGTTCAGTCCCTGCAATCGGAGAATGAACAGTTACAGCATCAAGCTAACTCTGCAGCCAGGCCTTCGGTGAGTGCTAGTTCTGTTGTTGATACCAATGCCCATGCCTCTGGTGTGTCAGATGCTTCTAGACCCATAGCAGAGCGTATTATTCTTATTCCTAGAGAGCGACGATGTTCCACGTTTAGTGGAAGGGGAGATGAGGATGTGTTTGAGTGGATAGAGGAGATGAAGAGTAATTTACGGGCCAGAAATTTACCAGCAAGGGAAGAAGCCCTTTTTATCCTTGATCATCTGGGTGGGTCTGCTAGAAGTGAAATTAAATTTAGACCAAGGGTTGAGAGAGAGGATCCAGAAAAGGTGTTTTCAGTGTTAAGAGAGTTATATGGATGTGCATACTCTTATATCTCCCTCCAGGAGCAGTTTTTTTCTCGTAAACAGGAAGAAGGTGAGTCCTTGCAAGATTTTTCACATGCCCTGTTCGCTTTGATGGAGAAGGTTGTACAATGTGCTCCGGGTGGTGTCCCTAATTCTGCCATCTTACTTAGGGATCAATTTGTAGAACACGTTGTTGACAATAGTCTATGTCGTGAGCTTAAGCGTTATGTTCGGCTCCATCCACAGTCCACTATTCTGGATGTAAGGAAGGAGGCAATTAGGTGGGTTGATGAGGGATTTCGTCCTGATACGCGTGAACGAAGTCATTCTGTCCCCTCCCTTGCTACCCAGTATAGGGTTCAAGGACATGGTCCACCATCAAGCAGTCGAGGTAATTCAACAGAGATAGCTGAATTAAAGGAGATGTTAAAGGCCCAACAAGAGCAACTTAATCGGCTCACTCAAGGCCTGCAGCAGCTGCAGTCCCAGCATGCAGGTAATCCATCTAGGCGGGTGAACCCTATTATCTGCAGACGCTGTAACCAACCAGGGCATATTGCCCGGAATTGTATAGTGGATTTTCGTAGATCCACTGAACAGCCGAGGGTGGTGTCACAGCAGAGTAATGCAGTGGGTGCTAGTAGGCCGTCGGAAAACTTCAACCCCCTGAATTGTTGAGCCACACTTCAGGAGGGGTAGCCACTGGCTCACAGCCCTCTGAGTTGAAAGGGAAGCAAGCACTTTGTAAGTTAGTAGGTAATTGTCCTTCTGTCACTATTACTATGGGTGGGGTAGAGGTTCCATGTTTACTGGACACTGGGTCCATGGTGACAACTATTTCAGAGGGATTTTTTTTCCAACATTTTGAGCCTTGGGGCAAAGAGAAGTTACAACGCTGTGGATGGCTCCAGCTGCGTGCTGCAAATGGTTTAGAAATACCTTATTTGGGTTACCTGGAGTTAGATTTTGTTGTTCTTGGGAAGAACATCCAGAATAAGGGGGTACTTGTGGTGAAAGACCTGCCCAATTCCTTACCAGGTGGGTTTCCTGGGCTGTTGGGCATGAATGTCATTCAGGAGTGTTTTAGGGAGTTGTTTAGTCAGCATGGTTCCAGTCTTTTTGATCTCCCTACTGTGCGGGAGGTTCCTGCATGGTATTCTGCTTTGCAGTATTGTAGGGAGACTGAAACTGACAATTGTGAGGTTACAGAAAGATTGGCTAGGGTTGGGGGTCGAGAAGCAGTGCGAATCCCTGCTGATTCGTTGCGTTTTGTGCCTGTCACATTTTCCTTACCCATAGGCCCTTCACCTTTACTGCTTTTTGAGCCACTAGGGACGGAGAATTCACTTCCGGCTGGTCTACTGGCCTCTGTATCTTTAGTACCAATTGTTCGGGGTGTGGCTTTTGTACCCATAGTTAATGTGGGGGAACAGGATTCCCTGTTGCAGCCGCATGTAGTAGTAGGAACATTGTGTAAAGTTCAGACTGTTCCACAGCTAGATGTTATGACTCCACCAGAGGAACAGGCCCATCTTCAAGCAACTACTGCATTGCAAATGGTGAGAGGGGACACAGTGGAGGAGGCCATCCATACTTTGGATCTGCCTCAGCTGTCTTTGGATCAGCAGGCTCAGGTTAAATCTCTGCTGAGTAAATATAGATCTGTTTTTTCAGCTCATGAGGGTGATTTGGGTTGTACTGAGCTCATAACTCATCAGATTCCGTTGCTTGATAGTGAGCCAATACGGCAGAGATATCGACGCTTGCCCCCTTCTGATTATGAGGCAGTTAAGGAGCATATTCACCAGTTGTTGCAGAATCAGGTGATTAGAGAGAGCTCTAGCCCGTATGCCTCTCCAATTGTGATTGTGCGGAAAAAAGATGGGCAGATTCGTCTTTGTGTTGACTATAGGCAGTTGAATGGTAAGACGCGGAAGGATGCTTTCCCTCTGCCACGAATTGAAGAATCACTGGATGCCCTGAGTGGAGCCCAATGGTTTTCCACATTGGATCTTGCCAGTGGCTATAATCAAGTACCAGTGGCAGAGGGAGATAAGTGTAAGACCGCTTTTTGCACGCCCTTTGGGCTATTTGAATTTAATCGAATGCCCTTTGGGTTGTGCAATGCCCCTAGTACCTTTCAACGCCTTATGGAGCGCATGTTTGGGGACCAAAGGTTCCAGACTTTGTTACTCTATTTAGACGACATCATAATTTTTTCGTCCACTATTGCACAACACTTGGAGAGGCTGGAAATGGTTTTTGTTCGACTACAGCGAGAGGGTCTTAAGGCCAAACTAGAGAAATGTTGCTTTTTCCAACAAAAAGTAAGTTACTTGGGGCATGTAGTGTCTAAGGAGGGGGTATCAACTGACCCAGCCAAGATTAGTGTGGTGGCAGAGTGGAAGCGTCCAACTAATGTGACTGAGTTGAGGTCCTTTTTAGGCTTTACAAGTTATTACAGACGCTTTGTAGAGGGATTTGCACGGTTAGCAGCCCCGTTACATCGCCTTGTTGCAGATTTGGTGGGGACAAAGAAGAAGAGGGGTTCAGGAAAGTCAATTGAAAGTTGTTGGACCGAGGATTGTGAACTGGGCTTTCAAAATTTGAAGCAGCGACTGGTGACTGCTCCTGTACTGACTTATGCAGATTTCTCTCTCCCGTTTGTGTTGGAAATTGATGCGAGTCATTCTGGGTTAGGGGCTGTGCTGAGTCAGGAGAAGGATGGGAAGCTGAGGCCAGTTGCTTATGCTAGCCGGGGGCTTCGTCCCACAGAAAGAAATATGCAAAACTATAGCTCCATGAAATTGGAGCTATTGGCATTAAAATGGGCGCTAACCGAAAAGTTTAGGGACTACCTCTTAGGACAGAAGTGTGTAGTGTACACAGATAACAATCCCTTGAGTTATCTTAGGACAGCCAAGTTGGGTGCTTTAGAGCAGCGCTGGGCTTCTCAGCTTGCAGCTTTTGATTTTGATATCCGATATCGTCCAGGCCGTGTTAACGGTAATGCAGATGCCTTGTCCCGTCAGTATACAGCTCTACCATCTTCACAGAACGATTGTGGCACCACTTTGCCTGCAGTGTTGGTAGAACTTCTGCATAAGGAACCGGTAGTATTGGCACAAAACACCATCTCTGTTTTCCCTACCACTTCAACTGTAGATTTGCAACGGGAGCAGGAGCGGGATTCAGTTATTGGCCCAGTGCTCAACTTTTTCTCTTCTAAAGTGTATCCAACTAAAGAGCAACGTCAGGCTATGTCCAATAGATGTCGGGAACTGCTACGTCAGTGGAGCAGGTTATTTAAGAGAGATGGGTTGCTATATCGTCATCTAAAACTGCCTGGTGGGGGGGAGGAAATAGATCAGTTGCTGCTCCCTGAGGTTTTGCAGGCAGAGGTTTTTCAGCAATTGCATGGCTCTCATGGTCATCAAGGTAGAGAGCGTACCTATGAGCTGATACGCAACAGATGTTATTGGCCTGGGATGGAGGCTGATGTTCGAAAGAGGTGCCAGGAATGTAGTCAGTGTGCAGTCTCAAAGTTAAACCAGCCACTAGCCCGTGCACCTATGGGCCATTTGCTGGCGTCAAGACCAAATCAAATCTTGGCAGTTGATTTTACTACATTGGAGCGGGCTAGTGATGGGCGAGAACATGTCCTGGTGATTACAGATGTGTTTTCAAAATACACTCAAGCTGTGCCCACACGGGATCAGAAAGCAATCACAGTAGCTAACATCTTGATCCACGAGTGGTTTTATAGGTTTGGGGTACCTGCGCAGATTCACTCAGATCAAGGTCGAAATTTTGAGGGTGCAGTGGTCTCTCAGCTTTGTCAGTTGTATGGGGTTCAGAAGACTCGCACTGTTCCATATCACCCTCAGGGAAATGGGCAGTGCGAGCGTTTTAATCGAACCCTTCATGACTTATTACGTACATTGTCTGTGGAACAAAAGAGGTCATGGACTTGCCATATCGCACAGGTATGTTTTGCCTATAATACAACGCCTCACCAGACTACTGGTGAGTCGCCGTATTTCTTGATGTTTGGGCAGGTTCCTAGACTTCCAGTTGATTTCTTGCTCACAGCTGTGGATGCACCCGTCAGTGGGCAGGTAAAAGATTGGGTGGATGAGCATAGAGAGACCCTAAAAGAAACGTATAGCAGAGTGAGGGCTCGGCTGAATAGAGCCGCAGAACTTCGTAGGAAACGCCATAGTCAGGTAGGAAAGGAGTCTGCATTGCAAGAAGGCCAAGAAGTTTATTTGCTTGACCAAGGTGTTCGTGGTCGTCATAAAATTCAAAATCATTGGTCCAGCACTGTTTACAAAGTGGTCCAATCCCCGATAGGTAAGGGTGGTGTATACACCATAGTAGAGGCTGATAATCCCTCTCGGGTGAAGCAGGTGCATAGGTCCCATTTAAGGTTAGTACCTAATACAGGAGGCTCGCGGCACGTGGTTGAACCAGAGATGGGAGTGTCAGAAGATAATTGGGATAAGGTTTTAGACTCCTCAGTGGCAGTGGATGAGATAGATGATTTGGACGTAGTCCTTATAGGGGTTAACCCTTTTGCCTCAGGTGTAGTCGAGGTAGAGCCACCATTGGAGCAGGAAAGGTTGGTGAGTGCAGAGACTCCTCTCCCTGCTATTAATCCCCCAAGGGAAACAACAGAGGGCAATAGGCGACGAACTACTAGGGCCACTGCCGGAAAACATTCAAACCCGCATCATTTGCCAAGGGCTGCAGTAGTCGTTCAACATGTACATCTAAATAGAGAGGGGGTGGATGTCTCATTGCAACCTAGTCAGGCTCAGAATAGTCCTTTCCGTCCATGGTTGTAAGTAGTATCATCGGGACGATGATAGAAAAGCCAGGGGTAAATGTAATGGGGCGATCCCCAAAGGGGAGGGGTTTCCCACTCGTATGCGTGTAGTGGGGGATCCCCAAGGGGGAGGGGTTTCCTCACTATGTTTAGGTGAATGGAGTTAGAAATTAAGCTCGCCACCCCTTTAAAAGTGTGGAGGTTTTGCTTCCGTTATCTCCCTGGCATGGAATAGTGGCAGTGTGTTGAGTGCGTGCAAACTTTTGATGTGCGTTAAGCATTGAGCGTTGAGCAGTAAGCCTGCAGTGTTTAGAAAAACCTGTAATTCTGTTTCTTTGGCCTGCGGAAGTGCAATCGCATCAGCAAGTAACGGTATGTCTCTGTTTATGTCTCTGGCTATTTCTGGCGAGTTTTAGAGCTGTTAATTAATAATAAATAATTCTTTTAGCTACATCCATGTATGATTGGTGGATTGCTCACCATTTGCGTTAAGAGCCAGTTGACTGGGCTGCGGGTAAGTTTCTATTTGAGAGTCTGTAAATGTTTTATCTAGAAATATGATTTTAAAACGTTAACATGCGAATGAATATTAACTGGTTGTTTTATAGAGAGCCCGTTGCTGTTTTGCTGCTGTCTGGCGACCCGTTTGTGCTACGGAGGGGCGATTTCACTTTCCTTCTCGGCACCTGATTGTGTGTGACTCGGTTGCGTCAAGGCAGTGTGTGTGTGTAGGATTGTGTGTGTGTGTGGGTGTGAGCGCGCCCTTATTGTGCGAGGGTGCGCTAAATTCTTTCAACGTTGGCGCGGTTGTGAGTGTGCGTGTATGTGTGCAGTGTTGTGATTTAACTATTTGGTGGGTTTGTATTTTGTTTGTGTAAATTGCTAAAGGCTGTTATTGTTCAACCTACATTTCAATACTAACAGTAAGGATTACCTTATATGGGGAGGGTTGTGTTATTTTGGCTTTGTTTGTTATGCGGGTGGTTTGTTTTGAGTGTGGGTTAGTTTCTCTTTATTAATGAGTGTTTTGTTTTGAAGGTTTCGTTGCACTGGAGTGTGGCATTTTCCTCTTTCCTTTTGATCTTTCCCAATGGTATATCCTGTGTAATATTGAGTGTGAGAGCAGTGGCCACTGACAACCATTATACAAACCATTGTATTGTTTTGTGACTTATTGTAATTGACTATCTGTTTTATATGATTACATTTTAAAGAAAAAAAACTCTATTTAAGTGTCTAATAAAAGATTGTTTGTACACATCTCTGCTTTATTTCCATTTGTTTGGAGAAAACCTGAAGTTGTGGGTAGTAAAGTGAACCTCTATTTGGTTATATTCAGTACAGTACGGGCCCCGGTCACACTAATGCTGCACAAATGTTCGCTGAAGTTCAGATTTTCCCACGTCATTCATGCCACGTCATTCGCGTGGATCGCGCCGCAGAATGTTTCTTTGCATTGGCTTAACGTCTAAATCACTCACGCTTAATTCTAAATCGCCCTCTAGTGGATGTGTCATCTGAAATGTGCAAAAAAATTATTTACTGTTTCACAAATGTTGAGGCTAAAGTATGTATTTCCAATGAGCCTGGGCTGTCAGACCCACACTAGACCACTGCATTCCTTTAACTTTTGTTTAATTTGATTATGCTAATTTCAAAAGTTAATAAAAACTTTCGGATTTTCTAAATATTGTGGTTTAACTACTTACATTTCACTGAAATGCTTTGTCAAATTATTACTTTTTTATTTGATAGTTTTTGCATGTCCCTTATAGAAATCTGATACACTGCTATATATAAAAATTATACATATGACATACAAGATAATATTTGGACATATATGCAACATACATTTCAAAATATTACAAAAATGGCGTACATACATATTTTATTTACCAACTGGAATTCCATAAATGTACATACATCTATTAATAAATATCTATATATTTTCTTTATTGATATACGGTCATATATTAACATATACAGTATATGAATACAGTATATTAATATATCTATTTTATATCTGAACATATTCAAACATATTTGTATTTCAAATGATTGGGGGAAAAAAGTAAATTGCTATTTTTGCAATATTTTGAAATATGTTGCACACAAGACATTTAGCAGTATACATGTGCAATCAAAATATGAACTTGCATGCCATATATGTAATTTGCATACATTTTAATATTTCAAACAGTAGTAAAACATCCAAAGATGTATCAGAATACTTCTAAGTCATGGTTACATTTACTTCTATCACTGAGCATAAATACTCCCGGGAGGGGGTAGAAATCAGGGGCCATGCGATTTACTTTCAGAAGGAAGTTGAAATGGGGGGGGGGGGGGGGGGCACATAATTAGAACTGTAAGGCTTAACTTTTCGATGTTAGATGAAAAATTTAATCGGTTGGAGACGTGAAATAGAAAAATAGGTACTGAAAAAAGTCCACAGAGGAGGGGTGATCACCAGAATGGGGAAGTCCGAGAGTAAAATGGGAAAATATGATACACCATTATTTCGAAATATGGAAAAACAGTTTTTACACTGTTTTCATCTGTTTTTAAATTACTTTTTTGTTGTTTTTATTTGTACTAGTTTCTTTTATTCCTAAGTATGTAAAGCACTTTGAATTGCCGCTATGTATGAAATGTGCTATATAAATAAACTTTTCTTGCCTTGCCTTGGGCATAATGTAATAACTGAAGTAAAATCAGCTGGGAACTGAACAAACATGACTTTGTGGCAGATTTTTTGTTATCAATTGATGATATAAAAAATAGTTCTTGAAAATGTGCATCATTTTGGATCAAGACTGCCATGTATTTATAAATGCAACCTATTTAACAAAAGGTGAAATTGCTCAGCGAGTACAATAAGCAAAGATATTAGCAGTTGCTTTTACAATACAGTTAACGTCTACACATTCCATAATATACAGCATAGCCTACGTTCATATATTATCATTATCGTGCCCTAGTTTACTGCAATGCATCTGCAGATTCTTTGCTTGTTAGTGTACATTGTGTAGCCTTCACCTGATCTGCTCAGCTCTGCACACACTCAAATGCGTACAGTATAAACACTCCAAACCTCATGACCAACATGAGTATAGGCATAGAATATTATGAATGTTATCTTTCTAATCCAGACAGGGTTTAGAGAACTGCAACACCTCAGCAACGCTTCCAGTAACACCCCTGCTGGCTGGCAAACAAAGCAAATCTCAACGCATGAGGATAAAACATTCAAGCGCTACAGTTGATGTAGTGAACAAGCTGCAAAGTCACTGAGCTATGACATCCGCTAGGCTGGCATATGCTTCAAGTAGCATGTCATATTTAGAAATGCGATGCTTTTCTTTGTGTTTTGATGGCCGCGCCTCATTGAGGAAAACAACAGAGGAACATTTCGGTTCATGTCTGGAAGAAAATTATGAAATTTTAAGTGTATAGCCTATACAACCGAAAGCAACTACTTAGGTCATTTATGCTTAGATATAATGTTTACCACACACACAAAAAAATGTCCGCTGTACCATTTGGATTTATCAGGCACATTAATGAAACCCAAAAATGGAAATTTACTCACCCTCTAGTGGCTCGAAACATTTATTCTGTTGAACACAAAAGAAAATTTCGAAGAAAGCTGAACTTTACATTCATAATGCAGGATTACTACACCCTCTGAAATAAAGGTATGAGAGCTGTCACTGGGGTGGTATCTGTTCAAAAGGTAAACATTTGTACTTAAAGGGTCCATATTAGTACCTCAAAGGTATAGGTACCTACAATTTGTAAAGAGGTACACATTTGCACTTTTTAGATACTAGTATGTACCCCTGAAAGTGGTGGAAAGAGTACTGAAAAATCATACTCAAGTAAAAGTAGCATTACTTGCCTAAAAATGTAGCACAAGTAGCGTAAAAGTATTTGTTGTAAACATTACTCAAAGTATGAGTCAAAAACAGACATTTTAAAAGTACTCAAGAGTAGTGAGTATTACGCTGTGAAATATTGATGCATTTACATTAATTTGTGGATGTGTGTAAACGTAGCATTCTGTAGTGCATTTGGTTATTGACACAATGTCATAAGATGCTAATATTAGGTTCGATTTAGGTTGTGATGTCGGGTGACCAAAATTCAATGTCTAGTCAGCGCCTAAGGAAAACATTATTTTGATCACCAATAACAACATCAAATGACATTGATAATTGGTTGATTTTAGGTCGTGTTAGAAAGTGACCGAAATCCAACGTCGAGCCAACATCTTAAACCAACATTTATTCGTCAGGTTAGTCTTCCAAAATCCAATGTCTGATAGACGTCATAACGGCAACGTCCACACAACAGCAAGCTGAAGCATCAATAATCAATGAAGCGTTGATATTTGTTTGATTTTAGGTTGGGCGTTGAGTTCTGACGTCAACACGATTTTCATTTCCAAACAAAATGCAATGTCCCCACGACGTTGGGGTACAACTTTAATCTGACCTCATGTTGACGTCTTGTGCGTGCTGGGTGTTTAAGGCCATTTCGGTCTTCACACAATAAACATCTGTAATTTTTTCATCAGTGACATGCATCTAACCAGTCTCTGGGTTAATGCATGTAAAAATTTAGGACATTTTTTGGACACTTTTAATGCTTCCAAACAGCAGTGGTGTAAAGTACCTAATTACAAATACTCAAATTACTGTAATTGTTTAAGATGTTGGCTCGACGTTGGATTTTGGTCACTTTCTAACAACCTAAAATCAAACAAATATCAACGTGTTATTGGACATCAAAATAACATTGTCCTTAGACGATGGTTGAAGATTAAATTTTGAACATTGAATTTTGGTCACCCGACATGACAACCTAAATATAACCTAATATTAGCTTCTTATGGTGTTGTGTGCCAGCTGGACAATAATTATATACACTACAGAATGTTGCGTTTACACACAAATTAGATGTAAATGCATCAGCTTTTAACAGCGAAATACTCACTACTCGAGTACTTTTGAAAGGTCTACTTTTTACTCATACATTGAGTAATATTTACAACTGATACTTTTATTCTACTTGCACAACATTTTTGGCCAAGTAATGGTACTTTTACTTGGGTATGATTTTTTGGGACTATTTACACCACTGCCGAACAGTTTGTTGCAATTATAAATTGCCCATGTCTTGGGGTAGTTCATTATGTTGCGATTGACCTCTTTACTTCTATGTGCGATTCGGTTGGACAGGAACCACAGGACTGATCGCCATAGACAAGAAAAAACAAAATTAATAGTGACTGCAGGTGAAAGGAAAGTAGTGGAGTAAAAGTACCAATACTGCACTAAAAATGTACCCAAGGAAAAGTAAAAGTACACGGTTATTAAAACTATAGTAAATTACAATTCCTGAGAAACACCTTCACTTTCGTTCACAACACAGCCACTCCAAACCCCCACCACCCCGCTCTTCATTTTCGTCTACGAAAGAGCGGCATAAACACTGTGAGGGTGGCACAACCGTCGATTGCATGGAGAGCCAGTTACGCATGCGCTATTACTGACTATACACGATACTTTTGTAGTATTTAAAATATTGCGACCTATGAGAAGGCTACAATACAAGTTGCTTTGAATAAAAGTGTCTGCCAAATGCATCAGATGTGAGTTTACAGTCTCTGTATGCCCCCTGTTGTCCTCTATGTTGTGTAGATCAGCGGGAGAGGAGGTTTGTGGTAGCATGTGTTTGAAGATATATGCTTTCTCTAGTGTGCGTATATGTATGTTAATATGCGCAGGTTTGTGGCCTCAGCAGCTTTGGCTCGAGCTCACCTGAGTCTGTCAGAGAGGATTACACTGCTGCCAGCCACATCAAAGAGGATTTACAGATGATTTCTCAACCCAATCGGCACAAGGTGACTTCATTTATTTGAGCTTCTCTTTGAATACAAGGATAACATTAATCAGACGCTCGAAGGAAAAGACTTCATTTGAAAAATGGCAAAAGTGCTAAAACCGAATGTGTACTAAAACTAAGTGATTTGAATATATTTAAAGTCAATATGAAATCAAAATTCACCTAATGTTCTTTAATAATTTTTTCATTAGTTTTGTTTTAGATCTGAAAATCACACAATTCAAGAATAAACATGACACTTCTTAGCAAGACTGGACAGAAGAATGACAATTGATCCATGAAGAATGAGACAACTCAAGTTTAATCCGCCTGATCTTACAATAAAACTTAAGTATTGCTGTTTTGTCAGTTTAGCGGCTTATTTGTACAAATTCAGTCATACAAAAATGTACCATTTTAAAAAGGAGGCATGGCACCCAACTCCGCTCTTAAACACAACCGCCATTGGGTGAGGATGAGCAAATTGTACTAAATTGTACAAATTAGATTTTATGAATTCATACTAATAAGTCACTAAATTAATCACTAAATCAAAAAGTTACAAATTGTTGTGAGATTGTATTTGTATAATAAAATGGATGATACAATA